CCTCTTTCGCCATTCTTCACAATTGGGACAATACTTACATATAAAAAATAATCTCTAAATTTCCGTCCAACCTAAACAATTAATCTGAAACAAACAACGCATACCAGGATTCATTGCTTCACAATATGATTTTTAATGTTCTTCATGTCATTTTCGATGCTCAATACTCCACGAGATCTGATGCCCTGCATTTACAGTTTTATTTAGCAGCTGTAGCCAGTTCATTAAGTGCAGCAACGTGGAGCTGCCTGGGTGACAAATTTAATGCTAAATCTTCGTTTTCTTCATAACACGTTTCAAAGTTCATTTGAAATGAGTAGTTATAACTTTAGGTGTATGGCCCGTTTGCATTTTCACAATAGCGCGTCCAGTGGTCATCCATTTCTACATTATGCATGAACCTCAGCAGGTTTGGATATAAGCAGATAAAGTGAAATGTCTCGGACACTCAAACTACCAATTCTGAATCAAATAATTATTTTTGAAGATCCATGAATTCCTTTTCTCATTACATCTTGACTGCTGTCTGTGGCAGATGCTGACCTTTACTCATGACTTATCATTGAATACACCATGAGGATTACGTAATAGTTCCATGGGGACGGACCCATTACTAGTTGGGGTGTGCTGTTCCAATAATTTTGGTAACATACCGTAGTCTGGTATGACTTGATACCCTGTAAAAATTTACTACATTAAAAACGGTAATAAAACATTTTTGGGTCCATTCTTTCTCATCATTGCTTTGTTTTTAATTTTGAAACCTGTTACCAAGTTATCTTTTCACACGTTTCATAATAAAAATGAAAATTGAGTCATTATACAGTTTTTACTTGTCTCAATCAAGTATTCAAAATTGTATAAAATATATAATGATGAAAAACGATAAAAACCCTTTAATTTCATTAAATATAGAGGACACTAGGGTTCATTGTGATACTGTGGTCATCAAAATATCAGATCTGTTAAACAAATGTTTTCCAGATGTTGTAACCATAAATAAATATAAAAAAATCACATACACGATATTTAGACTGCTTTACAAGTGCCATTCTCGGCATTTGGTTTCGTCTTAACTAAGTTATTTTATTAAAATACAATACGCAGTAGAAATACTGAAAACAAAAGTTTTATTAGTTCAGTATTAAAGTCATTTTGGGTTACAAAAAACTTCTAAAGTTGGTTTGGTTTGTTGTGAATTTCGCGCAAAGCTACATGAATGCTATCTGCGCTAACCGTCTCTAATGTAGCAGTAAAAGACTAGAGAGAAGGCAACTAGTCAAAACCACCCACCGCCAACTCTTAGACTACTCTTTTGCCAACGAATAGTGGGATTGACCGTCACATTATAACGTCCAACGGCTAAAGGGGCGAACATGTTTCGTGAGACGAGGATTCAAACCTGCGACTCACAGGTTGTACTTTTAAAGGTATAGAATCTCGCAACTATACATGAATTATATTGATACGTGATTTTGACCGATTTCAACAAATACTTGCCTGTTTTCAGGTTTGTTGTTGATGTTGTTCTTTAGAATACTTAGCATTAATACACACCCTTATAAAAACGGTTATTGATTAGCTATGAAATCGACTTATCAGTGAAAAAAACATTCACCTTAAGTGTTTTCATTTAGAAAGTTTCAAAGACTTGAATACAGGTTCCCAAACACTTGCTCAATCGAATAAATACACTTCAAAACATTTCACAGTTCATTTACAATTCCAAGTTTCACGCAGTTTGTGTAAACCACAAACCAAACTATTACTCAGTTTATGTAAAACTCATTCCAAGCTATTCCTCAAATCATGTACAACATTACATATTATTACCAAGTTGATGCAAGACACACTGGAAAATCATTTACAATTCACGTAAAATCTCGTTACAGAACATTATGATAAAGAAAGATAAAACTGGGAGTAGTTCAAAATTAAAATGATACCATTCATTATCTCAATGTCTTAATATGTAAAGCCCTAAAATATGTAAGAAATACCTTGGTATGCAATGTCTGAAAAATTTTGAATTCACGTTTAATCATGCGTATTTAGAAATTTAAGAGAAGAAAACAATTATTGAAACGATACAGTGAACAAGAGGGAATCATCAACAGCCGCGGTACTTGAAATTCTTTTAGGCAGGGTTAGAGTAATTTAATCTATAAGACCTTTTCTTCCTTTTTATTAGCTATATTTTTGTGTGCTAGCAATACCAAGGGGCGCGCATACCCGATTCGATTTTATTACTCATCAAGATCTCTACCAACCTACCCTCATATTAAAATTCCTTTAGGCAGGATTAGAGTAAATTGATCTATGAGACCTTGGGCGTGGTCAAATACGTCAAGTGAAAGGATTGGACCTCCTGAGTCCAAAACTGTAATTGAATCTCAACTCGATCAAGAGATGACGGAACTATGAGCTAAAAGTTTGTACTTTAAAAAAACCAAACTTAGAGACGTTCTATGAGCCGCTATGACGCGACTAAAAACAGAACATCCAAGTAAGACTTAATTCCTTTATCTCCTAGTGTTCAAAACAAGTAAGAAATACAAGAGTCTCTTTACAACGCTTCGTATACCATAAGCACATTTTCTGAAAAGTTTATTATAAATGCACAAATATATATTTTCATTTAAATATGAAGGAACCAGACTAACCAGTTAACAAAGAGCCCAGAATCGATCTAACAAAAACGAAGTGATATTTTTATGGACTTAACACGTTTTTTGGTAAAACTTGTTTATTTGTATTAACAGGCATAAACTGCATTAAACTGTATATTATAATAGGACTGAGTTCATTGTACCAAACTTACGGTTTATAACCACGCTTTTGTAGAGAAACTGAAGATGTTAATATTGTAAACAATTTCGACTGTTTAGATGGCTTCGTAGCTATTGTTAACAAAAAAAAAAAAGGTGTGAAAAACGACATGTTCAAATATCTCGTAGATTTTTTAACAAAAACCTTTTAATATTTAGAGCAAAAAAAATAATTTGTTGTGAACAAGTAGGATCTACCGAAGATAAGATAGTTTGGTCAGAATACGATGAAAACGAAAAAACGTGTCACACGACATAGCGTTATCAGAAATTACATCGCGTATACAGAGTATCAGTTATATTCATATATATGTTGTAAAATAATTAGTTACTCAGTTAATGTCTGTAATAGAGTTTGTGTTGTATTAATGTTTTCTATACAATAAAATCTAAAGTCCGAGGCTTATCTGATGAAAACGCCAAGAAATTGATCGTTACTCTTGTAGCGAACTCACATGTTAAAGTGCGAGGAACAGTTTGTGGTGCGGCATGGATTCAAACCGGGCTCGCCATCTACGAAATCCAGAGCTATACCACAGGGTCAACCCGCGGCCAGGAGAAATGACAAAAAAAACAACAACGTCTACAGTCTTCAATTAACACGTTTTAGTACAACAGAGGTTGAGTACGTTATATCAAAGCGATCTTGAATATGCAAATCAGCAAGTTACGTGACAACCGCAGCTGAATTAAAGTTGCAGTGGAATAGAATGTATAACAACTACATTTCTCCATCGTTTTGCGGTTCGTAGATAGTGTGTTGCCATTGAAGTTTGATCGCTTTTCGGAAGGGTATGAAACAGCTCTTTCCAAAATATTAATTTACTCAAATCATAAAAATATGTTCAGATTGGAAAGTTAGAACTTCCAAGACGGGAATATCCTACATGAAGCATATAGGCACCTTGATAACTTTAACAAGCCTAATGCCATTTTCTACCAAACAATTGGTGAAAAAAATAATTCAAATGTGGTACCTGATATTTAGTGAAACTTTTTCGAAGGGATAGATGACCATCACTGGATACTACGCCAGGAGAAAGTTAAGGACCAGGACAGTGGATACAAAGGTCAAAGTGAATTCTGCTACTAACAAACCAATTTTCTGGACACTTTATACCACAAATACATACCAACTTTGCACGGAAACGAAGCCAACAGGGTATGAGTTCAACAAGATAAAGCCTCTAGTCATACCTCCCGTTCAAACCTTGGCATACTTTAAGCAGCTAGAGAATGAAACAGGTATTCATACTATTCCATCAAGTCAATGTGGACTTGGTCTATTGAAATGGGCTCTAGGAAACCGTCGTTCTCGTATACTATATGGATTGAAAGAGCATGCAGAGAGGAACGATGTGCTTTGGATATGACAGCCTTATGATGGAACATTTTGCAATACAAACTGCGATGCAGGGCTATTGTAAAAATGCACGGTCGTCAGGTAAAATACGACCAGACGTGGCGACATGGGCTGTAATGATGTGGTGAAGCTCCAAATTTATTATATTTTAATATATTAAAACTGTAGTCAAATAAAAATGAATAAGAAGAACTAAGCAAAAAAATTAAGCATAGCTGTTTAGTTTTATTATTCAATTTGTGCCATATGTTTTCTATGATATAAATTCTGAGAAAAAAAATAATACCTCCAATTATATAATTTTTTGAATACACTTAACCGTTATGCGCTAAACTTTTAAGTTAAATAACATATAAAAAGTATGTGTTAAGACAATCGTCTCTTAATTGCTGAATGCAAATCAGTTTTACTTCGAGAACTAAACGACAAATCAAGAGAAAACATTTACTGCTGAGAAATTTTTAACATCAAAGAAACATTTTTTTTTAACATTTCTCATACGTAATTTGCTTGTGTGCTTGTTTACTATTAAGCGTAAAGCTGCACAATGAGCTATCTGTGCTCTGCTCATTGCGGGCATCGAAAGTCAGTTTTCAGCGTTAAAAGCACTCGGACTATATACAGTTGTCTACTACTATAAGCATCGGAACGTGCATCGTTAAATATCTCACGTTTCTGCATGTATTTTATTTTGTAAGCTCGAAATACTATAAAAAACCTTAAAGAAAAAACTAGAGTACAATACATACTTAAATATTATTGTTCAAAATATCTAGATTAATATTGCAAATAATAATAAATGTGTTTACCTTTAGGCATGCCACAAGGAGATCTTGTTCTTCCATTATCCAGAAAATCGAGGTTGTATTTCCTAGCCGGAGGAAACGTTAAGGCCACATGTCCAAGAACGGTTTCTAAAATGCACCCAAGTAACGATATTACGAGCGCTTTCCTTCGCATTTCTGCTCAATTTTCCTTAATAAACACGATATTTGTACGTATAAGTTCAGAAAAAACAACAACAACAACAAAAGATTACGTTTCAACTTCGTTTCGTCGCTAAGTCAAAATATAAATAGATAAATAAAATTCTTAAGGATATATCAATAATTAATCACGTTCAGCTTCTAAGGATTCACTTCTACTGAGTTTGTTAGCATTGTGCAAGATTTAATAACCATGTCATTGTGGCGTTAAGTAGGCCACAGCAGAAAAGCCAAGTACGTTGGCTAGCGTAACTACCTACGCTTATTCTCCAAAAACACGTGAAAACGTCATATACTTCTCAAAATTCATATTCTAAATTTTTTTTTATTTTTCATTGAAATAATGACATCAATTAAACAGGAACCTTAAATACTAGACACAATATTCTAATAAATACAAAAAGTATGATAAATATAGTTTGGTTCAAATACAATTACTATACACTCTTCTAATTCTTGAAAATCCCTAACGTACTAGATGAATAATGTAGTTTTCAAAACAATATAATAGGCCTAACATAATGTATTATGATAAGAATAATTAATTACATTCATGCTTCGCCAGCTTGTAAAAGGCGTTCACACCATAACAATTCCACTCAGTGTGTGTGTTTGTAATTAAGCACAAAGCTACACAATGGGCTATCTGTGCTCTGCCCTCCACGAATATGGAAACCCGGATTATAGCGTTGTAAGTCCGCAGACATACCGCTGTGCCACTGGGGGGCTCCACTCTGTGTCTCAGCTGTATATCTGTGGACTTACAACGCTAAAAACCGGGTTTCGATACCCTTGGTGGGCAGAGCACAGATAGCACATTGTGTAGCTTTTTACTTAATTACAAACAAACGCCATAACAAAAATTATCATTCATTCAGTTGACCAAGTTAAAATATACATTAAAAAGTACAAGGTATGCAATGATTCTCGTAAATATTTGAACGAAAGAGGATCTTTTTAAAGTCAGTAAATTGTGAATCCAGATGATCGGCTACTTAGTTTTGTTTGTTTCTTGTTAAACACAAAGCTAAACAATAGGCTATCTTGTACTTTGCCCGTCGCGGGTATCTAAACCCGGTTTTAGTGTTATAAGTCTTTCAGACCTGCCGCTGTGCCACTGGGGGGGGGGGCACTTAGTATAAACAAACAATACTGTTGCGTCAGCGAGATAACGTGACTATTCTCACGCCCTCTGCTTTCTAGAACTATCCTGTACCTTGGCGAATGCTCTAGCATTTACTAGACATA